AGATCAGCCAAATTGTTGCCGACAAATAACAACATAAAGTTGCTAAGTAGTTAACAAAACTATACATAGTTAATTTGCCCGGTACAATTACAACTTGGGCTATCGCTCATGCATACAAATGTCTGAGTTAGATAAACTTAGTAATTTCTCTTAACTGAATTAGTTTGCTGCAAAGTATTATTCTGAAGGCAAGATATGCAACTGTGAAAACTGCACATAACTAAATTTTAAGTGTTTAACCCGCATCCTCTGCACAAATTGGGATTTACCAGTCAATCTTTCTGGAAACATAATCGACTAAGCAAGCGGTCAAAGCAGTCTATCGCAAAACAGATTATGATGTTTAATAATACATGTTTAACGGACAAACAACATCCTAAAGATTTTAAGAATCCACGTAGCTCTGATACATGTACCGAGTTTAATTCACTTGAATTTCGCAAAAAAGCACGACAATTTATTGGGATAATCGTCCCTTCGGGAGGTTTACGACTCGTCCCGTCCTAAAATTAAGCCCAAATATGCCCTAAGTAAATTGTACACAATGTTAAATACTTAAAGCAAAAACAGCTAATTTGGTTTTTAATGCCGCATTCCCAGGTGAAACAATTTATCTTGTTGCTGGGCAGCTTTCCATGGATTTTCGAGTTTTTGTAGAATGGTGTAATAAACGTCGTAGAGCCATCAGGAAGGGAACATTTAGAAAGCATAAAGCAAAATTGAAACTTTTTTATCTTCTGAAACGTGCTATATGTTATTAATTACCTAAGCCAAACCCTTTCATTTTTTACCTTCTTGGGCCATTAAGCCAAAGTTTTTACCTAAGCATTAAAACTGAACATTAAATTTCAAATAATTCTAAAGGCTTTGCCAGTTGAATAATGCAGTCAAATCTGACCATAATAACGCAGTTTAATTATCTCAACATATAAATTAATAACTGTCCACTTCAAAGCAAACTCAGTGGCTTTTGCAAACAGAAAAACCTTCACTAACTTCAAACGTACATAATGCCTTTATGAATTCAGTCAAAATATTCTAAATGACGAGCAATTTTTCGGGAATAAATTATGAATAGTTTCAGACCCATATATAACTGAAAACTTGGATCAAAAATGTAGCGAAAAGGATGCTAATTCAACAGTAAAATTAATTTTTTTCTAAAAATATACTATTGGATTTAAAAAATTGGAAGAATGAAAATGCTTTTTGGTGCAAAACAAGAAAGGCCTGGAAAGAGGAGTTGGCGTATGTTAAAGTAATAAATCAGTGTTTATTGCTGGCTTGTGTCTAGCTAATATAATTCCATATAAAAAGTCTATAAAACGGCAAATCTGCATGAATCAAGTTTCCTAAACACAAGCCGGGATTTGATTGGAAATCTTGCGTAGAAAATTCCCGGATACATCACTACTAAAATTCAAACGGTCCTCCCAGGGCCCATAAAAATTTTATGGGCAACTCTATAGAAAGACTACATTATATAGCTTCCCTATGGTAAAATTTGGTTCTATTTCTTCATTTAGGTAGTAACGGTTTTACATAGGTGGATAACATTTGCCATTTGACTCTTAGTTTGCCTAATCCCAAGATATGATATCTGATAAGAGCAAATAAGGGTCGAAATTACCATATCTGGTATTCCGGACACTATTGACCTAAATCATCCACATAACTTGCAAATTACAAAGTCCACTGAGGTGTAAAATATGTTAATTAATTTAACACCACTCAAAAGGGTCTCCACTAAGCAAACTTGCTCGGGCAGTGTCAAAAGGTTTCCAATAGGCATGTCCATTAAAGTTAGTTTACAAGGACTAAAACTCTAGAAATTATAGAACTTTCAATATTCAAATTTCTAACGTCAGTTCTGAAATATCGCAATATAGAAGTTTAATGAAAATTTCCATGAGATTACAGTAAAACATTCGCAGTCCGACAATACAGAATCTTTAAGTGTCTCTATAGGAATAGCAGAAAATCTGGAAGTAACACCAAACACTACTGCGACAGGAGACGTGACCTGAGTTTAAATGATCCTGAAATAAGTAGGTGACAGAGAAATTCTCTTAATATTTTTATTTGGGTCAAAATTTATTGAGATGAACTGGTTTAAAGGGTGTAGCTGACAATTTACTTAACGACAATTGGCCAAGGAGCATTTTACTCTTGGATTATAGCACCGCTCTAAGAAAAAACCGGTATATTTCTAGGATGGTGGAAACAAAGGAACATCCAAATACAAACGAATACAAATAAGTTAGCAACTTTTGACATAATTGATTCTCCGGGATCGGCAAAATTACAAAGAACGCAAATAAAAAAATCAAAAAGACAGTAAAATTTATTTGAATATTTTTTTTTCAAATAACCTACAGACGACTTAAGAGTAGAAGATGTGACTGTATGTCTGGCAACTTAGGTTGGTTGATTTTTCTTAATTTCCGTTACTGGACCGTAAACATCTAATTAAACGTTAACATCCTGTCGAAATTTTCGAAATTTGTTATCAAAACTTTTTTTACAATAATTGTTGAATAATCTGTTCAGATACCAAAAGTATACAGAGGCAGGCAAAAACGTTCTCAAACCGGAAGTATATTTTTTATTCTTTTTATTCTATTGTAAAAAGATGGAATTTTAAATTGGCTTTTCAGTAAGATAAAACACCATGGACTTTACTGGATTCCAAGGCGATTTATTTGAACGTTATTACTTTAATCCACAGTAGGGCATGAAATAAAAGCTACTGCCCTAGCAACTAGTATGTATATTGATATTCTACTAGTTATTCGCGAATAAATTGAGATTCCGAAATAGACGAGTATTCAAATACTCGTTCTCGAGATAGAGAGAATAATAGAGATATAATAATAAATGGAAAGTAAGCAATGAGTACGACCAAATAAATGTCAAATGTTACTCGTTAAACGTAGTTTGAAATTTATCTACGAGTGGGCATTTGAACTTTTAAATTCGCTAATTTACGTTTCCTTAACAAACATAAACAAATCCTTACCACGTTGATCAAAGGAAACTACAAATTAAATTTATATTTATCGATTGGTGCGGAATGGTGGGCTTAAAAATTCTTGGTCCGTTTATTTTGGAAGGCACCTTCAATGGAAATTAGTATACAGGGTGTTCCGTAAATATGTTAAAATATTTTAACAGCGTGTTCTTCAAGTCATTTTAGAAGGGGGTTTTCCTGAGAATTTTTTAAATTTGAGGTTTCATTGTTGAGATATTTGATTTTCAAAATGGCGAAAAATATTCGTTTTTGTTGTGTTTCTTTAAAACGGTTAAGCGTGTAAACTTCAATTTTGGTATACATGGTAATCTAATTGAGTGCCATTCTATGGTAGTGTTTTGTGGTTCTGTTTACCTTTATACAGGGTAGAAATATGGAACCCCTACTTTTGTTTTGATCAGAACATTTTTTTCGTGCACTTAAACTTTACAGTTACTTTTACTTAAACTTTACACTTAAACAATTTACTTAACGACAATTGCCCAACGAGCATTTTACTCTTGCATTATAGCAACGCTGTGAGAAAAGACCGGTATATTTCTAGGATGGTGGAAACAAAGGAACATCCAAGTACAAACGAATACAAATAAGTTAGCAACTTTCGATTTAATTGGTTCTCCGGGCTCGGCAAAATTACAAAGAACGCAAATAAAAAAATTAAAAAGGCAGTAAAATTTATTTGAATATTTTTTTTTCAAATAACCTACAAAAGACTTAAGAGTAGAATATGGGACTGTATGTCTGGAAACTTAGGTTGGTTGATTTTTCTTAATTTCCGTTACTCGATCGTAAACATCTAATTAAACGTTAATATCTTGTAGAAATTTTCGAAATTTTTTTCTACATTTGTTATCAAAACTGCTCAGACCGAAAGTATATTTTTTATTCTTTTTATTTCATTGTAAAAATATGGAATTTTGAATTGGCTTTTCAATAAGATAACACACCATGGACTTTACTGGATTCCAAGGCGATTTATTTGAACTTTATTACTTTAATCCACAGTAGGGCATGAAATAAAAGCTACTGCCCTAGCAACTAGTATGTATATTGATGTTCTACTAGTTATTCGCGAATAAATTGAGATTCCGAAATAGACGATTATTCAAATACTCGTTCTCGAGATAGAGAGAATAATAGAGATATAATATTGAATGGAAAGTAAGCAACGAGTATGACCAAATAAATGTCAAATGTTACTCGTTAAGCGTAGTTTGAAATTTATCTACGAGTGGGCATTTGAACTTTTAAATTCGCTAATTTACGTTTCCTTAACAAACGTAAACAAATCCTTACCACGTTGATCAAAGGAAACTACAAAGTAAATTTATATGTATCGATTGGTGCGGAATGGTGGGCTTAAAAATTTTTGTCCGTTTATTTTGGAAGGCACCTTCAATGGAAATTAGTATACAGGGTGTTCCGTGAATATGTTAAAATATTTGAACAGCGTGTTCTTCAAGTCATTTTAGAAAGGGGTTTTCCGGAGAATTTTTTTAATTTGAGGTTTCATTGTTGAGATATTTTATTTTCAAAATGGCGAAAAATATTCGTTTTTGTTGTGTTTCTTTAAAACGGTTAAGCGTGTAAACTTCAATTTTGGTATACATGATAATCTAATTGAGTGCCATTCTATGGTAGTGTTTTGTGGTTCTGTTTACCTTTATACAGGGTAGAAATATCGAACCCCTACTTTTGTTTTGATCAGAACATTTTTTTTGTGCACTTAAACTTTACAGTTACTTTTACTTAAACTTTACACTTAAACAATTTACTTAACGACAATTGGCCAACGAGCATTTTACTCTTGCATTATAGCAACGCTGTAAGAAAAGACCGGTATATTTCTAGGATGGTGGAAACAAAGGAACATCCAAGTACAAACGAATACAAATAAGTTAGCAACTTTTGATTTAATTGGTTCTCCGGGCTCGGCAAAATTACAAAGAACGCAAATAAAAAAGTCAAAAAGGCAGTAAAATTTATTTGAATATTTTTTTTTCAAATAACCTACAAACGACTTAAGAGTAGAAGATGTGACTATGTCTGGCAACTTAGGTTGGTTGATTTTTCTTAATTTCCGTTACTGGATCGTAAACATCAGATCCAAACTGTGCTGGAGTCGTGGAAACTAGGGATGGTGGAACCGAATCGCCAGGCTTTACTAAAGCCACTCCGTCATTTCCCATTCGCATACAATCAAAATGCAGGACCAGAACCGTAGCCCTGTCGACCTTAGTTTCGAAATCAAAGCACATATGCAAGTTTTGTCCGGGCGTATATATATCAAATAATTTTGCACACGTCTCCACTTGAAGCGGAATATAAGGTATCGGAACTGGTATGCACAAGGCTGGAGGATTCCTTGCTGAAAAAAAAACCTGTTAAAAACCCAATTAAAATATTTGCTAGTAAAAAATAAAATTGAATCCAAGTCCTCACAATCTGTTCAAGGTTCACAATGAGCCCAGGAAAAGGAAAAACATATCGGTTTGCATTAAATCGTGCTTGGGCGAAAGGGTAAGACCCACCCTGATCTGGTGAATATTCATAAAGCTCGGATAGATGTGGATCGATAAACGGCAGAATCAAAAAATCTAATGGCTGGAATTTTATCAACGCAGACCGGAATTAAAATACTAAAACTTCAAATGGAAATTTACCTGAAGGAAAAACATTGTGCTCAAAACAACACCGAAAACACGGGTAATTGTTGGAGGGAATTTAACGCAGGCCTTGCTGGCCATTGGCCGCCGGTTTTTATTGAAAGCGAATAAATTGGAAAAAACAATTTGCACAAAAAATCAATTTCCCTTGAAGAGTTGTGGAATTTAGTAACACGCTTTTAAAATCGTCTATTTTTTTGATTGAAATTAAAATTAGTTTCTGGTTACCTTGGAAGCTTAAAGGAAAAAGCGAAACACCACACAGCAAAAACTGAGTACTTCTGGGATCCAACATCCCCATGTTGTTCTTTTATTTAAGCACAGTAAACGAAACGATAATAAATATCTAGGACTCGACCTCAATTAATTAAATTGAGCAGCTCTGAAATATTCTTATGCATTGAAAAGGCTCAAGAGGCCCGAAGGGTTTTTCGCCTCAAATCTCCAAGTATTTAATTATTTATTGTTGGAGTTGACTTCGGGGAGGTTCTCATTCGATGTTTTGTTTGTCGTCAACAACTCGATTGTTCTGTTTTATTACAAAACACAGGCCAATTAATTAATTTATTTTCAGTGGGTGATTAACAAGTGAGCGAACTCATTAGAATGGAGGTTAAAACATTTTACTTGAGACACTATTAACAGAAGTGATTAACCAGCTGAAAAATAAACCACTGCTTAACGAAAAGAAGCTCTGAATAGCTTTAGTTTCCTACAATTCCTGTTAATAATAGTCCTGTTAAAAATCTTAATATAATCTAAAATCGGCACGGAAATCACCATAAAGCTTTTACAATGAATATAAGCTAATATAAAATACAAAGTACTTGATAAGGTAAAATTTTAGTCCGCGACAATGTCAGAGCAGCTTTCAGTTACGTTATTAAGCACCAGATTCTATTAAAGAGGGTTAGCAAATAATATTTTAGGAGAAAGCAATCTCCTAATGAAACAGCAGTCAATATTAAAAGTAAGATAAATCTGCTATCTACTCCTCCTAGCGAAAAACACTGTTGAACCAGCGGTTGCACAAAACGATTATTGAGTTTTCTATGTGCATTGTATTGGCTTTCATCTAGGAGCAGTTGGAATTTGAGCATTCTATATAAAATAACGAACAGTAGTAGTGGTGACGTTTGTGTTTTCAAGTAGAGTGCGTAAATGTTGTTATAATAAATGAACGATTAACCCTTATAAATAGGTAAATTTAAGAATTTTAGATTGGTTGAAAACATTAAAAAGTTGTGCCCCAGAGGTAAATGGCAGTTTTGTTGCGCGATGACATGGGAGACCATGCGAGGGGAAATCCAAAGAGGTGAAAACAGTGTGCTGTTTACTGCCTGAGTTTGAAAAATTTTAGAAAATAAATGAGGAATCGATTCAAATTTTGCTGATTTATCAGTTGGGATTTTCCGGGAGTCCGAAATTTTAGGCATTTAGCTGTGCTCGTTTGCGAAGTTGCGTGCACATTTGGGGCTCAAATTTGATTAACCGAAAGTCTGAAAAATTCTAGAAAATAAATTAGGGCTTGCAATTCAAACTGTGTAGATTTATCAGCTGGAATTTCTTCTATAAACATCAAAAATTTTAAGCATTTATCTGCTCGGGTTCGCGACTTGTGATATTTTAGGCACAGGCGTGCACATTTGGGCCAATATTTGAGTAACAGAATGTTTTAAATTTTTAAAAAAATACATGTACACTTGGAATGAATTATAGTTTTGTACATTTATGGAGATTTCTTCTTTAAATATCCAAAAGTTGAGTCATTTATCCGTGCTGGTTTACAAATTGTGAATGTTAGATTCAGGTGTGCACATTGGCGGCTCCTATTTGAGTAACCGCAATTTTGAAAAATCTGAGAAATTAAACGAGCGCTTGGAATCGATTATAGTTTTGCCAATTTATCAAATGCGATTTCGTCTTCAACTATCCAAAAACGCAGGCATTTATCTGTGCGGGTTTGTAAAGTATGAATTTTTAAATGCAGGCATGCATATTTAGGGCTCGTATTTGTGTAAAGGAAAGTGTAATTTCGAAATTCTAGAAACTAAACGGGCACTTGGACTTGAATGCAGTTTTGAAAATGTATTAGTTGCAGTTTCTTCTTTAAATGTTCAAAACGTCGGGAATTTATCTGCCCGAGTTTGCAAATTGTGAATTTTCAGTTTCAGACATGCAATTTTGGAGCTCATACTTGGGTAACCCAAATCGAACTAGAAACGAAACGAGCCCTTGGAATCGATAGAAGTTTTGTATAATTTTCAATTGGAGTTTCTGCTTTAAATATACAAAGTTCTGACGAGTTTCCAGGTCGCGTTTGAAAATGGTGAATTTTTATGCACAGGCGTGCACTTGGGGGCTCATTTTGAACAGCCGCAACTTGGGAAAATTCTAGTTTAACAACCCCAATTGGCAGCAGTTGGAAAGAATGCCATGGTGAAACCTTTAGAATAAAACCCGCCATTTTGCTCGATTGCTGCATAGTTTTTTGTATGTTGGATTATTACCAATAAAATTACTAATTCATGTGGAAATTATACAGTGAAGTCCCAGAAATTCGGTTATACAGAATTTAAAATTAATTTATACATTAGTTTTGAGACTCACTATATATGTGGTGCTTGTAATTTTTATTACAGTTATTTTATTTTTTAATTTTATTAACAGTAAAACAGGTTTTCCCAATCGATATCTAATTGAAAAGGATACGCGTTCCATTGGTTAGGTAATAATCCCAACGGATATTTCCCTTTTGAAAACTCATTTCATGGTAGAAGAGACAAAGTGGAGATTCTTTCATTAATTAAAAGAGATTTAATTGGTGGGAACAGATTACAGAAAGCCTGTGATCAAACATTCAAAAGACTGTAGAGTTGTTTGTGCCAGGCAGTTCACGGTTCGAAAAATATTTAGCCCTTGAAGGTATTCTGTCCTTTATTAATTCAATTTCAATGTTGGGAAATATTACTGAGATACATACGATGAAACAAATGTAAATTAAGTGAGGCAACCGTTTGTTTTTGGGAACTAATTCTGCCTAAATATACTTAATCGTTTTACGTATTCAAAAGTAACGAATTTCAGAATGATTGGACTTTGTATAGAAATCCCCGATAGGGTTAACAATAATTGGGAAATAAATTGACAAACTGGCTGGATACCGATCGATACTTTCATTCGCTGTTGGATAAATGATGAAAAATCGTCAAGACCCACACCAACATATATTGCATCGACCATGTTTGCCAACAAGAAATCAATGTAGAAAAAGCTTTAAAACATGCAGAAAGCAATTTGCCTCTAGAAAAACACCAGAGCTTCTCGAATGCCCAAAAGGCATAAGGGTCGTAATCCATACGTCGTTGAGCAAATCCGTAAAGCTTTACTTTAACGTTTTAATACATCCTGGAGCTATGAGATTGACGTACATAGTTATTCTACAGAAATCGTATCTGAGGCCTTAATAAGAAAATCACTTAACTCTAACCAGACCATTGTGTCCATATTTTATTTATAGCCTCCAAGGAACCTTTCTTATTCCAGACATAAACGAAGAAAAACCATATTTAAACCGCCCACTTCCGGCTGAAATGTTATTTGTAAGAAATATCCGAAAAAAATTGTACAGCGTAAGCCGAAAATCTTGTTATTAGGGCACAATAACTGGAAACTTTATGTTTCTCTGCTAAATAAAACCCCAGACAAAAGCACACATAAAAAAGTGCTAACGACTTTTGTGGGCCTAAATACTTTGAGGCGATATTGTGGGAAAGTGGAAACTATAGTCAACGACATTTCCACATGATATCATTTTTCAGATTATTATCTGTTCTGTGAAACCCTTGAACTCTCAGCTGCCAATTACCTATTGTTTGCCACTGTATGCTCTAAATAAATATTCCTATAAAATACACACAATATCTTTAAGTTCATCGGTTGGTGCAATATACAGGGTGGGTCAGTTTATACTAGTTGGACTTCGACTAAGCACATTATGTTTAGCTACGACTGTTGCATAAATAAATATTGAGCTAATTGCAAATTTCGGGAGTGTTATTTTCAGGCTAAATACAGCTGTTCAGAACAAATTGACTCGAACCGGCTTTAGATCGTGCTTCAGATTAACACATCTGCCGATATGTGCAACATTTTGTAATTAAAAAAAATGCCGATGTAATCGCTTTAACAGTTGTTATTACCAGAAAAACTGTTTGAAAACACTGGATTTCCATCCATAATCATATCCATGTTGACTGCAAATTCGTCCGGGTCGTAGGTGAAGTTCATGCAGCCTGGAATAAAAAAAATGTTGTCGAAATCGAATGCGTTTGAAATAATATTCTATTCTGAAACCTTTGGGCTTAGGTAAATGAAAGTGTTTCCAGGTCAAGAAAAGTTTCAGAAATTACCCAGTAAATTTATTAGAAAAGAGCCTATAATTGCTGCGGACTATTTCGCTGACACGTTGCCAATATTTGTAACAAATATTTAAATGTTTGCATCAGCTATCCATAAACAACGATCCTTAGTTTTTAAGCGGAAATTTCGAAGTTCGCATTGCGGGCTTCTAAACGATTTGGCCGATGTTTTTGCGAATTCCTCCAACGAAAACGCGGTGCAAAAGCACGTACAACTACCCTTTTAAGTCTCTCACTAGTAACTGGCAACTAATTGAAAAGAATACTGCTCTCCATTAAAATAGAGGAAGAAAAAACTCGTCCGAGTTATAGAAATGTGTATTCGTGTTATTTTGTGGAGGAACTTTTAAAACTTCTTTTGAGCAATAAAACTTCATAGCGTTCTGGAATAACTTTTAAATTAGCTACTCAAGATGAAAATATTATTGGCTTGACTCACACCCTATGAGAAGGAGAAACTTTTTTATTGCTTTGTAAGTCTAATAGAAATCTTGAGTGGTTTATTAAGTTTCCTATGAGCATTAATCCATTATTTAGGAAAACGCTCTGTAACTTTATATGTAACTAGTTAAATATTTTTAACCGCTCTTTGAGAAAGGGTAGATGGAAGGATGAAGTCAATTTTGATAGATATCGTATCTTGCTTGGTTGGAGAGAGATTCAGCTTTAAATAAATGTTTACGCCGAATGCAGACTGAACTGAAAGGGCTTGAACAGACTTTAAATAAAACTTGGAAGGACCTATTAAAGTTTGCCAAGCACTTTTAATAATTTCGCCTGAACAATCTCAACACGTCAGGATGTCTTGAGGGCACCTATAAATCCACTACAAAACTCCGAAGATTAACGAAGGCTGAACTGAACAGTTCTGCAAAAAAATTCAAGAATGTCAAAATGAAGACGCTGAAATTGACAATACAAATCTTGGAGAAATGTGCGGGCGTTCATATAAACTCGATTTCTTTAGACAACTGTTAACAGAGGGTTATTATCTGAGGTAACGTGCTTATAGAAGTGCACAAACTGGAATTAAATTCGCTTGCGAATAAGAATTAAGAATTAGACTCTTTTGAAATATTGTTTAGTATTATGGAGGATCGCGCGCGCGTTTATTTTTTTGGAGATACAGGGTGACTCGGGGTAGCCGCTACAAACTTTTAGGTCTTGTAGAAGGGCCCGATTGGAATATCTTTTGATATAAATTTTGCTTTTTTTGAAACGGCTTTGCATGGGATGGAAATTAGGTAAATCTTCAATGTAGGCTATATAAATGTAGGCAATATTTTTACCATTACTATGTCTAATCTTATTATTATTAGTGTCATTATCAAGACCATGCCATGGTCATAAAGGACAAATAAATTAAATCGAATCCCCTTTGAATATACCAAGCCATAGTTTTTTACTCGAAATGGCATCTGAAGCAAAAACGCATGACAAAATCCGCGATAGAACTTTATGAAATATTTCTCCAGATAAGAGCTGTAAAAATAGTTCATTTCCGTTAAACGCTGCATGTTCCTCTCAGTGGATTTCTGGGGAGCATGTAATAATTTACTGGAAATCTCTGGTCGTAATCAAACCACCAGTAGGTAAATTTTTATTTTGCTGTTCATCGTAGTCGAAATGTCTGGCTACACGTTCCTCAGGACGAGCACGTCGTTGAAACTAATGACGTCATAACTATATAGCTCATTTCCGCATCCGTTTATGTTCCAAACAATGGCTAGTTTGAGGGTTAATGTTCCATAGACTATTGTTCTCTAATTTTGTCTTAGAACGCTACAGGGGCCTAAATCTGTTAGGATATGCATAAAGTATCTAGTTGGACGCCACAAACGTTAAAAGAGAAAACCCTTACTTTATTTTCCGGCGGCAAAATTACAAAATCAATTTTACTTCGGCTCCTGCCTTCAGTATTGGAGTTCCTGCTTCTTACGTTCTAAATTTTCTCAGAACGTGCTGATAATGGACAGGTCACCCCGCATTACCTGTAATTATGTTTTTTTGTAGGGAATTTGGAGACATAAGTAAACGAGATCCATTTTATATAAGCGGCTTATCCTTGATTGTTGCTGCAATGAGCCCTTCTAATTAAGCCGTGAAGCAACTTAAGAGGGCTTTGTTGTTTTAGGCTTCATGGACGAAAAATGCAATAACGCCTTTCAGGTTTTTAGCCGGATAAAGATGCTTTCAGCTCCTGCAAAATCTTAGTAGTATGTGGCTGAGTGGGCGAACACTTTCAAAAAAGCAACTCATTTAGCTTGTTAAAGCTAACAGACATTTCAGGCGCTTGCCGAAACTTTACAGCAGCATATTATTTTTTGAAAACTTGTTTTGGGTATATGGATTCCCTCAAAAATGTTGCGTTTTATTTACGCTCAAGCTGCAAAAGGTACTCTCTAGTTACTAATTAAATTAATGTAGAAAAATTGCCTTAACGTTTGGATAGCAAATCTGACAGCGTTCTCCAAAGTTACGAATCGCCGCGCGTTTTTGTTTTTTACACATATCATTTTTCTTCGGCTTAAGGCTCACTGTTTAAAAACCTTAATAAAAGTAATTAAGAATTATATAAAAAAATTGTGGCCAAATCCCCAAGAGCAACATTCTGTTAAAATGAATTTGCCTCAACCATGTAGAACTTATCAATAAAAAATTAATTTCGCTAGAGTTGAATATTTCTGGAACCATCCTAAACCTAAATTCATTAGCCAGCCAAGCTTTCATTAAAGTACTTCATAATACCGTCGTCTATACACTTGTAAGAGATAATGAAACAGTTGAGGACGCTTCTAATGTATTAATTGTGCGGAACTCAGTTAAGTATCCATGTTCAGGTGTAACGTATCTAATTTTGGAATTGGAAGCAGAACCGCCCATATTAAGTTAATGCAATTTTCAGTTAAAACCCAATTATGCTGTCGTTTAGCGCCTAAAGACCCCACATAAATACATCAGGGGAGATAAGAGCGATGTGTGATTGAAAATATCGGTTTCCATTGCCACAATTACCTTTATTTATGCCTCTACGCCCTTAAAGTGGCACTTTTTTAAATATTCGAACTTCATAAAATGATAGTTACATTTATAACATAACTTAAGATGTCTGGAACTCGAAATGTATTGAACTGTATGCTAAACAGATTTATTGAATACAGTAGGATCAGTTCCAATAGCCAAGCGTTAGTAAATAATGCAGTAGATCCAAAGATAAATTATTTATAGGATAGGATTTTGAGATAGTAAACATCTTGGAAGCAACTAGCTGCAATATATTTAGAGCTTTCCTAACCATCGGGAGTTTTTGATGGGAAAAGTAACTTTTCTTAGTCATCAACGCAACTATTAATTTCAATAAAATGCTTGCAAAAAAGGCCCATTTTTCGCAGGTTTTTCTTCAAAGAGATTAGCTGGACTACCTAATTTCGTTGTTACTGAGCTCTAAATAAAAGCCATACAGATAATTGATTATACAATTTCGTGTGCCTAATATTCAGCAATCGAGATGATAACAAGAGCTGTGTATCAAATTAGATTATTGTGGCCAGTTACGTTTCCTACCTATATTGTACCATTTTGGCGTTTCAGGATCAACTGAATTTCACATGGTAATCAACAAGACCTTAGATAATATGCCCAATATAATGGAAACTGGTATCAGTTATAGGGCTCAATTGAAAACCACTTACCTTCTCTATTAAATTGAAATTGATTCAAGTTTATACCCAGACAGCAACCACAAGTAAGCTGTTGACACGTGCATCCATTACTTCGAAATCCAACTCGACGCAAAATCGAATGTTTGTCATTTGCTCCCAGTTTCAATCCATTGGTTTTTAGCTGACTTAGTTCACTTTGGTTTTGCTTCTTATATATCAACATGTTCTCGATGGAGGATAACCGAAAAATCGCTGCGGTTTTCGGGTCATAGTAGATGTTGGGCATATAGTTAGAATCTGCAACAAATTCCATCTCATTTACTTACGTTAAAGTTTTTCAAGGCAAACAAATTGAAAAACTTCTAATGAAAACCATCCTCAAATCCGACCATTAGTTAAAAATCGGTTTGTATATTCGTGCGTTTTTCTTCGTAATGTGTAACATGAGTTATAGAAAACGCTGAACTCTACAAGACGCTGACGGCTAGATATTTCTGCTGATGCCACCCTTTCCAATGTACGCCCGTTGCCATGCAATACTTTCCGAAGTAGTCAGCGCCTGCAGCCATTGCCACACTTTTCTCCGTTAATCAAGCCATTAATTTGTTATTGAAATTTCAAGTAAAGCTTTGAATCTCGCATTTAAAGTAAATCCTGTGCCTTTAGGCTTGAATGCGCTTGTTAGCCATTTTTCACTAATTCAGTCCAGGAGGTTACAAAGTTTAACCACGAGCAATCAAAAACTTGCTGATTATTAATTTTACTCAAACAGTTTTTATAATTACGAACGAGATTAGTTAATTTGCGATGCGTAGGAAGCTTTCAAATGCGGGACTCTATTTCATCCATTTTATAAAACAGCTTAATATAATTAAACCCCTATATGCCACACCGCTAAAATTATTTTAAAATTTACTACTTTTTTAACCCAATTAAACTGGTTTGGTGAAACCATAGTTAGAGTAATAATCGGTCAAACTAACAGGCTCAACCTGACGCGCTCTACGTGAAGCCATAAATCACGCAAAGTTTGGCCCGAAATGGAAAACAATAAAATATCGGTCATAAAAAATAAAACAAGCTGAGAATGAGCTGATCAAATTCTCTAATGTATCAATGTCACAACAAATACATACTGTATGGGGATAGAGGATGGATTGAAGCTTATACTCCATAGTAAGCGCGTTCGATTCCCTGTCAAAATAAAGCCGGGGTTTAAATAAATTTGAATATCTTGTCCCAAACTTTTATTGAAAATGTATAAATGAAGTAATATTGCGTGTGTTATTTGGGTATGTCTTTTCCAAAGGTACGGCTTTCCTGGTGTCACTTAAGTCCCGATTTATTAAATTGCATTTAATAGTTTCACTATTGAAAAATATATATAAAATTTAAAAACTCCTGTTATCCTTCATAGTCAACCAACATCAATAGCTAAAGCTTGAAATTAAATAAAACATATGCAGTTCCGAGGTGTTTTGATAAATTGCCACTTAAATGTTGATTTAATTTAATTAAATAATTATGATCTTAAGTAGATAAATGCATCTGACCAGAATAATATTGCAAAATACCGCGATATCCGGTTTTCCCTTCACCACAGTCTTGCTCGAATCTTGTCACATTAAGGTAGCTTAGAAACTTTCCGAATAGCTGGCGAAATTAAGCAAGTTAACATAAACTAGGTTGATAACCGAACTTAATAAATGGCACTGGTTTAATATAGCGAATGTAATTACGGCTCGTCATGTCCGTCATTAGAGTGCTGCAACATTGAAAACGTATTCCGCGTATTGTTATACTCATTATATAAATGTTAATAATTGATAATTTTATAATAATGTTTCCTAATCAACCCAATGCAAAATGCTTAATTTTGTATCAGTAATTTAAAACTCCTGGACATCCTGGAAGGAAAAATCATACATTGAGATAATTAAAGCAACAATAACAGCAGTAACAGATTAGATTAATATAAATAATTAATACCCAACAAGCAGTTTGTAAAAAAAGTAACAGATTAGCTAACAAGACAATTTAATGATCTTGTTAAAACAACAGGCATTTATCGGCAAAATTTGCTATAATTAATTAATATCTAAAATGGAACATTTTGAACCAAAACACCTTGTTTTTGAGCACTAAGTCTCTAATTGCAATTAAAATCATGGCATAATTCAAATATTGAGCAGTATTCTTCCGTGTCGCCCGATGCTTTACAAAGGTTGAGTTGAATTGTAAAAAAGTTTTTCTGGAATAATTTTATGAAATTGGAACTGTTAGAAATTCGCTGCGTCCCATTTTCTAATTACCATAAAATTTTTAGTCGAGCAAGTGAGATTGTGGAAACGTGATTCAAGTTGGAAAATGATTTCCAAAGTAGTAAAAAGCTCGGCGAAACTTCCTGTCCTTGGTATATAGTGATTCAAGACAAGTAGAAATTACAAACTAACGAAGATAAAGTTCCGAGTCTTGGCATATTACAGACTCTTGAGAAAAATCCTTAACATCAGCGAGACAACACTGCAGGAATAATAATGCATCCGTTTTGGCCGCCGATACAACAAAACAATTTTATTTTGTCGATGTATGATGGAAATTTATGCAAAATAATAGGGGGGAACCCTTTAATATTCTAAAAATTATCTGGTATTAGACAAAGTGGTTACAATTCTAAATCAATTTACCTAGAAGCTGCTCATTTTTTCAGCTGAATAAGAACAAGTTCCACTGTCTTGGAATTAAATTTAGTACAAATAAGCTAGATAGATCCGTTGCTCTTGCATATTTAAACGTTGGTCAATTATTGGCATTTTTAATGGTACTCATTGATCAGATTTCGAACATCTCGTAATAGCATTGACCAAATTCGATGCTCGTTTCAAATGGAAAGTGCAACTTTCCATAATTAAATTACCGCCAAGGATCTCCGGCGGCTTAAGTTTAAAAGCCGAGTCTTGGACAATTAAGTGGGGATGTTATAGAATTTTTGGTATCAAACTTAGAGCTTTATTAGTATGAAAATGCCCCAAGAATGTGTTTAATTAAGATCTTAGAAGTTCAATTAGCCCACTTAGAATCCAGGCGCAACGCGTCGGCTGGAGGGTAGACATCTTGGAATGTCATTTATAATGTGCTTTCTAAGCTGAGAGACCCTGATTTCAGTTTTTGTCTTCCGGAAAAGGAAAGAGGAATTGTGTAAGAAATGTCCTTATTTCGAGCAAATAAATAATGGCATTTTAAAGACTGCAGTTGCGGGATTTTAGTTTGGAAAACAAACCGAACGTTAATTTAAGCATAAATTTAATGTCTTTAGAATCGTTCGCTTGTATCTATATTCAGCTGTGGTTTTTAGAAATACTTGACGTGATCAAACTCAGTATGCGCCAATACGTTTCCACCTCTTTAATGGACGTTTATTGTATTTTTTTCACATACACAAAACACCGTCGAGTCGTGATCAGCAACAAGCAATTTGTCTGAATTCCCGGAAAACTACTCGAGTGCTTTCAAAAATCGTGAATCTATGTACCTACGTAAAAATGCAATACTAAAATATTTTCTCAGAGCGGATAAACGTTAGATGTAAGTGGATTCATTTAAAAATTCTAAAACTAGCATAAACTTGGATAGTCATGTTCTTTATGTCTGGAAACGAGGAAACTTTCTAGAACGACAACTTTCTCGGGCATCATTAAGGGAAATATGTATGTTATGGTGTATACATTTTGTTAAGCATTATACTTATATTATAGATAACGCTTGATGACCAAATGCTCGTTTTGTTATAAAGTGTCCATTACCAATTTTGTAGTGACGAGCGAGACTGGTCTTGCTCTTGCATCTTTGGCCATGGTCTTGCAAAAAATTCAGACCAAGATTTTGACAAGAGACTCTACATGCAAGACTCTTGCAAAGAATAATTCGATATTGAATCGCACTAAATCTGTTATGGTAGCTCTTAGATATAATTTAAAAAATGAACCGTTTTAGATATTAGAAATCAAAGCTTTGAATAAGTGCATGGACGAATCCAGAGGTCATGACCCCCTCGTCTGGGTTTATGTCGACTAACGATAAACTTTCTAATTTCATAGACAACAAAAGAGTGAATTTTTACTACATGACCCCCCTGACTTCAAAGCTGGATCCGCCAGTGCTCAATGGATGATATTCAAATTGCGCTTTCTGGCTTAAAACTACTCGAATTTCCTCACTCATGTTTGAGTCGATTTTTCAACTAAAAAAAAAACACTTCTAATGTGCACATTATATAAAACAGTGAAACCTCAAGTAGTAACTAAATATCGCAACAGCTTCTCCTTGCGAGATTCCTGAAAAAAGTTGATATGTAAACAGTACGCATACTCAATCCATGCGAGAATTATTAGTTTATTATTAATAATGGAGTTCGTTTTTACGTTTCTTAATGTGCGCGGAAGTTAAAATATTATAAGCCCAATCAAAACGAAAAAACAGGAATATCCACACTTTAAATCAAGCATGTATTTTTTTTCGAAAACTTCAGATTTAACCTTTAATTCGAATCATGCGGAAACCAAATAGCAAACAGCTTAAGATTATTTTATTGTGGTGTCTTGCTCCACAGCTTGCTTTTATTAAAAAAATAATAAAAATATTGTCTTTTAATTTTACTATTATTATTGAATTAATTTTAAACCAATTTTAAGACCACGATCATGCATATCTTGATCTTACTAGATCATTACTATAAAATTACTATTTGACCAAAATTTAAATTGACATCTTTAGCCCAAATACTTTGATGCAATCTTGGAATCTACTACATATGTGTAGCAAGGCAAATTTTACATGTTCTGAAAAGAAGCTTTCCCCTAATTGAAATTGTTACCTGGCCGCTCACGGTAAAGAGTCATGTTTTCCCAACCCTGCTTATAACTACTCTCATATGTGGAGCATCACTAGTTTATCTCATTTACTTTTGAAGTATTGTAGAGCTCTTGTGCAGCTACGCAGAATTTCCAGGAAATTTATGATTTATATGCGCTCGTCTAGATTTTGTATCTGTATTAACTCAGCACGTGCTTTTATTTCGGAGATGTATTAAAAAAGATTAGTCTGTTTTAGTGGATTTGCGCCAGAACATTTACCGATTTGCCTCAGCTCAACTAAACATGCCAACAAATTTCAAACTTTCGACGCTACACAGATAAAATTTAATTTATTTTATGTTATTATTACCATGTCGCGGTTATACATTTTCCTGTGATAGGAGCCATTGATATTTTTTCTCGCTTACCTGGTTTATATCTAGTCAATCCTTTAACACTGACGATAAATACAAAAATGAGGCACAAGAATTTCATGGCTCGACGAACGAAAGTTCAACTTACGGAACTAACTAAAATTGATCCCAATGAAAGAACTGGTATTTGGAGTGCAGAACCCAATAAAGAAGCTCGACAAGTTTATGAACTCGACTCGCATTCATATAGACATCGGGAAGTCATAACAACGTGTTCATAATATTTAACTAAGCTCAAGACGCTATGATATATGTATCATTAAATGCTAATTTTATTAGAGATATATAACGGTTTAAGAGTCATTGTTTTCTCTTTTGACCACTCACTCTCTATTGAACTTGTTTAATCTACTCGGATAAATTATACAAATAGATACATTACCACCGAAAAGAAGGTTACATGATTTGCATATATCAATAAGTATGTTATTTTAGAAACTGTTTCTGAATAGACAAGGAAGTAATTACCTATCCATATTAGTATTATTTATTCATGTTCAGGTGTCATTTTCCATTCAATTTTGCATCCTACATAGCTTGCAGATCGATTATAGCAGAACCGGCTGATGATTTAGAACATCCTTACCAGGCCACCCTCAATTAAAAATTGCAAGAGAATAATGAGGACGCTCTAAAATTCACCAACCAATGATATCCATCATACGATTTAATTCCTAAATGCTAATTAATAAAGTGTCTTGTAAAATGCTGTAAAGTTGCCAATGGTTATAATTTATGGAGCCCGCCCAGCTTCGTTTCAGAAGAAAGTTGATCACACACAGTGATTTATGTTGCTGGCGGAAATTTTTTGTTACGATTTCAACTCGATAATTATCTAGAAGGTATTACGAACACGATTTTTAGTTTAGTTCAAGGAAAATTCGACAGCAGTTTGTATTAAATTTAAATCCTTATTTTTGATGGCATTTCAAAATCCAAATAGGGCTCATTAATAATTCCTGATGGTTAGTTTCAAAAGCCGATTTGCCGAATTTTAATCAATTCATGGACAACTGAATACTTGAACCAGAAGAAAACCCGGCAAATGGAACATTAATAAACAAATCAGACAAATTCTGGTGGTAGTTCCGAAACAAACAAACAAAAATCATGCATAAGGCAATGAGATCAAGCCAAAAAACAATTAGGAATAAAGTCCGATTTAAAATAATCAAGTCGTTTTCTCTGGTGTCACTCTTTGAAAATATCAGTTGAACATCGAAAAGTGCAACTTGAAAATTTCAAATAACATTCGGTAGAGCCCTTAGGGAGGCACTGTATCTCGAAGCCAGAATCCCAATGCGTTCAATTCCCCTTTATCATAGCAATTCAAGTAAAACTTCCCACTAATGGACAACATGCCCTACGAAATAACACATGAGTGAGAAAATAGTATCAAATATCAAGCAAATTTTCAGCGGCTTCAACACTTTGACTCAAGGCAGGAACTGTGGGTCTCTGTGGAATCATGTTTCAGCGTCGAGTTGACCCTTACAACCCTATTCTTAGCCTAAGGTGCGAACTATATACCGTGAATAGTTTATTGTACCTGTCCAAAAATTTCGTCGTGATAGATTGATTTCAGTTTAAACAGTGGCGTGAAATTTGAGGTGATTTAATGCCGAGTAATTTGTAAAATCAATTATGAGGAGTGAGGCTAGCTGCATGCATTTAGAAAACAATTGTTTGCAAATCGCTGTCTCCCTTCTCAGTTCAGACAAGCAACGCTTCTAAATCTGGTTTGACATGATATTTTTCCCCAGTAATATTTTCAAATGGAATTAGAGGGTGCATATATTATCAGATACTATAAACAAAGGTTCTGATTGTGCTTCTAACAACCCACTTTACTAGCGCTGGGCGTGT